CCCAGCTAATGTTTTGTATTTTTAGTAGAGATGGGGTTTCACCATGTTGACCAGGATGGTCTCGATCTCTTGACCTCGTGATCCACTCGCCTCTGCCTCCCAAAGTACTGGGATTACAGGCGTGAGCCACCGCGCCCAGCCAGGAGAACTCTTATACTTGAGAAATGCTGTGAATGTAAGGGGTGTGCAAAAGCCATTCATTTCTGTTTACGGACAATTATCTTGCTATCCAGAAATCCATACTAGTGAGAAATATTTTAAATATAAGTAATATGAAAAGGCTTTAGACTTCTGTACAGTCTTATTGGATATCAATTTATACTGATGTAAAATCATTTAAATATAAGAAATGTGTGAAGATCTTTATTCAATATTAACACCAGGGAATTGGTATTTGTTAAACAGTTTAAATGGAAGGTATGCGGGAATGACCTAAACTTAATTCAGTTCCTGCTGCACATCAGAGAATTCATACTGCTTTGTAATCCTATGCCCGTAAGGAATTTGAGAAGGCTTATAGACATGGTAAATATCCTAGAGCACATCAGAGAATTCATCCAAATGAGAAATCACTTGAATTAGAATTATAAGAAGGCCTTTAGACAAATGCTACTCAAATCCAGAAACTGGTGCCAGTCACAAAATTGTCATCTGTCAATCATGAGATAAATGTGGAAAGTGAGTAAATATTTGGAACTTTTATAGCAATTTGATGTTTCCATAACACTCTTATTCTGTTTTACAAAATTATCAGTCCACAAATGACTGGGAATTGAAAACAAAGCTTATTCTTTCCCAGAAATAATTTTAGAGACAAGACTCACACTTTTCAAGACATGAGACAAGTCACAATATAATTTACTTTAAATAAAAAATTCTTCACTTTCACCTCTCTGATTAGAATAGCAGAATATTTATACTATAGCAAGATTTGGCAAATGAGGGAATCGCCATTTTCTAATGCCTATAACAGCATAAGATAATTTATACCAGATATGTTAAATGTACAGAAGCCTTCCAACACTATTCAGTCTTTGTTAAACTTCAGTAAATTCATCCTAGAGAATAATTGTGTTAATGTAACAAATGCAGGAAAACCTTTATCCATGGCATATACCACTATCATCACCATTTCACCTCCATACTACCTGTAGGCTGGTGAGCAAAATGCTTATCTCCTCTGGACATAATGTTTAAAATGCTGATGGTAACTAATAATGCTATTATAGAGATTAGATGGATTTAGCATGCATTATATCCTTGGAAGAGTATCTGGTATGTAGCCTATGTGAAATACATATTAGCTATTTTTCATATTGTCTTTATTATTAGTATTACTACTGGTGAGTTCTTAGGAGAGGCACAACCATTTGGTGGAATGAATTCAGAAAAGCTTCCCATAACCACTCATCCGTTTGAATTTCAGATAGTTCATTCTGGATAAGATCTAGTAAGGATAAATAATTTGAGGGGATTTTTATTCAGAGTTTACTCCTTAAGCTGGGCTAAAAATTGACACTTGAAAAAATCCAGACTTTTGAAGAGCTTAGGAAAGCAAAACACCTTTTTTATATTATATTTTTTATAGAATGTCACACATTGGTTTCTTTCCTCATGGTGAAATTTGATATGGGCTTCTCCTTCACATTTCTCATAACATGAAGTTGGAAATAGAGGCTTAAAAATATTTTACCAGGACACTTCACAGATGGTGTTGTGTACTTCATCTTGCAATACATCAGAAGAAGATGGTATCCATTTCCCCCACTATCACTAGTGCCAAGTTTGATCACTTAAGATGATAACTGGTGGAGCTCTCCATTATAAATATCCATTACATATTTTGTAGGATTGGTCGGCCTTGATCAATGATGTTTGGAAATGTGTGATCATATGGTATGTATTATACTTTTTTTTTTTTTTTAGTTAGGGTCTCTCTGTTGCCAAGGCTGGAGTGCAGTGGTGTAATTTGAGCTCGCTGCAACCTCCACCTCTCAGGTTCAAGTGATTTTTATGCCTCAGCCTCCCAAGTAGCTGGGTAGACAGGCATGCACCACCATACCTGGTTAGTTTTTGTATTTTTAGTAGAGATGGGGTTTTTACCATGTTATCCAGGCTGGTCTTGAACTCCTGGTCTTAAGCGATCTGCCTGCCTCAGCCTCCCAAAGTATTGGGATTACAGGTGTGAGCCACCACTCCTGGCTGTATTTTACTATTTGGAAATCACAGTCCATCTTAAAATTGATGGCTTCTTGTAACCACTTTCAGCCAGGTGGCTGTCATGACTTAGTGCTAGCATCAAAGCAGGTTAGTTATGATGAAATAGAGTGTGTGTATATACTCACACAGTTGGAAGTCGACCTTTTAACAAATCATTTCTTTGTAAAAATAATGTCAGTTCCACCAGAACTAATGCATTGACAACTAAATGTCTGTGGTTCATTGTCATAAGACTATACCTGACCTCTCTATTTTGTGCACATAGGGCATTTGTAACAGCACTTTTCAGTCATTCACCATCTAGTGATCATCATTCCACACAATTGCACATTTTCTTTTTCAAAGGCTTAAAAATCAAGCCAACAATTACACTTTTAATAAGTGTAACACAAAGCAGAGTATTTTGGGAGTTTTAACAGGATATATTATTGGTAACTAGTTATTATGCTACTCCCTCTGGGTGCCACATTTGCCTTTTAAGCAAGAAATGTAGACATGGTGCCTTATCCCAACATTTCTAAAATTATATCTCAGGAATCACCAGTGCTTACTAGTACTTGAAAATGAAGCAGGATTTTATAGTTAAAGAAGCTTATAAAGTAGCACGTATTAAATCCCCTCTTAGGGAACAAGTAAAAGCACCTCACCAGCTTATCAAAAGACTAAAGAGAAGAGAGAAAAAACGACGAAAGAGTATTCTAGTGAAGAAAATGGTTGGACTTTGTTTAAACTGGTATATGGCAAACTTCACTGTGGAAATACTGATTCCCATGACCTAATATCTTTGCAAGTAGGTGAAATTGTTTTGGGAAATACTGCAATAACCAAAAGAGAATTTCAGTCGCCATGTCTGGTTGTTAGCTATGGTGGAATGGCAGCATCATGCGCTCAGTGATGAATAAAAATCTTTGTTGTGGCCAAGTAGGGGTTGCCTCCTGAGTTTTATCAAATGCCATTTCACTCTCTCTTTCTGCACTTGTATAGTATTTAATTTGTTAATGTGATAATTTATACTGAGAGAGTCACTGACTTTCTCCCATTCCTGGATATTCCCAGTTTAGTCATGGTGTCCTTCAGATGTATTGCTTGATTTCATTTTGCTATTTTATTTAGGATTTTTGCATCTCATGTATGAGATTATATACGTTTTCTTTTTTATTGTATTTTTATTTGTTTTGTTATTGCAATTACCTGTTCTTTAATATTGTATGATCCTATTAGGTTATTTTGTTTGACCCTCAATCACTTTTTTAGTGCCATCTGTCACTTTTTTTTTTTTTTTTTTTTTTGGTCTTTTAATTCCTGCTTCAGACATAACAGATTTATTGAGTGTTCAGCACAGTTCCTTTAAGGAGCCTTCATAGCCATGTTGTACTAGCCAAGATCCACATAAAAGAAGCATGCTGGCCGGGCGCGGTGGCTCAAGCCTGTAATCCCAGCACTTTGGGAGGCCGAGGCGGGTGGATCATCCTGGTCAACATGGTGAAACCCCGTCTCTACTAAAACTACAAAAAATTAGCTGGGCATGGTGGTGCGTGCCTGTAGTCCCAGCTACTCAGGAGGCTGAGACAGGAGAATTGCTTGAACCCAGGAGGCGGAGGTTGCGGTGAGCCGAGATCGTGCCATTGCACTCCAGCCTGGGTAACAAGAGCGAAACTCCGTCTCCAAAAAAAAAAAAAAAAAAAAAGAAGCATGCTAACATGGCCCCTTATTGAACATTCTTTATTATGTGTTCTTGAGAATAATGTGTTGGAATTCAGAACTTCCATATTGGGCTATTATGGTCATACTTGTACATGTCTTTTGGAGTACACGTGTCCACATTTCTTTCTGTATATACTGGAAGTGGAATTGCTGGGGTGTGGTCATGGGATACACATCCATTCAATTTTTTAGTAAGTTTAAATTCTTCTGAACAGTTTTCCAGACAAATGAACCAACTTACACTCTCACCAGCAGTATATGAATGTTCTACTTTATCCACATCTTTGATAATACTTGACATCATCAGTTTAAGGAATATTTTTATTATTCTGGTAGGTAATATAGTGGTATCTGATTGTTGAAAATTACAGTTTGAAAATTATGGTTTAATTTTTCATTTTCTGATTGCTGCCTATTTGTATATTCTTGGAATTTCTCTTTGCTTCTTGCTCCTGACATTGGATGCATTTGATGTGTCTATTTTCAGAGAGCATCTGTTCAGTTTGTAGGACAACAATTAACACCTAGCCCATGACTCTCTCTTTGTCTCTCTCTCTCTCTCTCTTTGTGTGTTTGTGTGTATATGTGTTTATTCCCCACCAGAAAGTGAGCTGGTTTTGATGACTGTGATGGAATCAGCTTTATCTCTGCATCTCCAGTTCCCAGAATGAATCATGACCCTTAGTTGTTTGATTCAGTTAGGATACACTCAGTAGAAATTAAAATACCACGCTGGCTAGAACAATGAGGAAGTATATTGATTCATATAATGTGTTTTCAGAGGGACAGCGGGCTCCAGATATTTTTGATTCATCAGCAAAGTTAAATCTTCAGAGGCTAAATTTCTTCCATTTTCCACTCTGCACTTCCCAGTGTTGGTTGGCACCGTGATAGCTGGCAGGTTTCCAGATATTACAAACAGACATGACAACAACCACACAAAATAATAAGGGAGACCATCTCCTGTGACAGGTGCAAGAAAACATTTCCCATTAGCCAGCAGTGTACATCTGCTTTTATTTTTTTTATTTTTATTATTATTATTATTTTTTGAAACGGAGTTTAGCTCTTGTTACCCAGGCTGGAGTGCAATGGCGCGATCTTGGCTCACCGCAACTTCTGCCTCCTAGGTTCAGGCAATTCTCCTGCCTCAGCCTCCTGAGTAGCTGGGATTACAGGCACTCGCCACCATGCCCAGCTGATTTTTTGTATTTTTAGTAGAGACGAGGTTTCACCATGTTGACCAGGATGGTCTCGGTCTCTTGACCTCGTGATCTACCCGCCTTGGCCTCCCAAAGTGCTGGGATTACAGGCGTGAGCCACCAGGCCCGGCCAACATCTGCTTTTAGTTGCTAAAATGGGTCATATGTAATTTCTGAAATAATCACTGGTATTACTTTAAATTATAGACTCTCAAAGGTTTTATTTAAATAAAAAATCAGACTTTTGGCCAGGTGTGGTGGCTCACACCTGTAATCCCAGCACTTTGGGATGCCAAGGCAGGTGGATCATGAGATCAGGAGTTCAAGACCAGCTTGGCCAACATGGTGAAACCCTGTCTGTACTAAAAATACACAGATTAGCTGGGCGTGGTGGTGACTCCCTGTAGTCCCAGCTACTTGGGAGGCTGAGGCAGGAGAATCGCTTGAAACCAGAAGGCAGAGGTTTCAGTGAGCCAACATCTCACCACTGCACTCCAGCCTGGGCAACAAGAGTGAAACTCTTATCTCAAAAAAAAAAAAAAACAACCATGAGACTCTTAAGTTTCATTAGCTTTTTATGTATGTATGAGACATAACAAGTGATCCTTTATTTTAAAAAGTATAATTACAAATATGTATAAATTTCATAAGACATAATTTTTTTATATAGTAAATAAACTATCTTTTTCTCAGAGATGACACTGCCAATAGTCACAGATTTGCATACAATACAGTTATGTACTGGCTATTCACAATTTACAGTAGTGTTTTTTCCTCTGAAAAATATAAGTACAAAAGCTAAGTAAACAATGAGGTACTGCCATTTGGGATTTATTATATGTCATAGCTTAAAGAACAGGTCTTTAGCAAATATTCAACAAATCAACCTGAATAAAATAGTCAATTAAATGCTGTAATTTATCAGCAAAAATCCACTAAGTTTCACCTCAAAATTTATTGCACAAGTCTTTTTTAAAAATCACCCTAAAAATAAATAGGAAAGGTAAGCAGTTTTTTTTTTTTTTTTTTTTTTTTTTTGAGACAGAGTTACACTCATGTTACCCAGGCTGGAGTGCAATGGCGCGATCTCGGCTCGCCGCAACCTCCGCCTCTTGGGTTCAGGCAATTCTCCTGCCTCAGCCTCCTGAGTAGCTGGGATTACAGGCACGCACCACCATGCCCAGCTGATTTTTTGTATTTTTAGTAGAGACGGGATTTCACCATGTTGACCTGGATGGTCTCAATCTCTTGACCTCGTGATCCACCTGCCTCGGCCTCCCAAAGTGCTGGGATTACAGGCTTGAGCCACCGTGCCCGGCCAGCAGTTCTTTAAAAAGAATGGAAGAAATGAATATTATGTAAGCCCATAAAAACAGGTTAAGTCATTCAGAATTTCTTTTAAACAACAAAAAACTCTTCCCAAGAGAAAACTGAAGAAAAATCAATCACCATTTCTCCACTGATAAAATCTATTTTATTTTTATTTTTATTTTTATTTTTATTTATTTTTTTTGAGACGGAGTTTCACTCTTGTTACCCAGGCTGGAGTGCAATGGCGCAATCTCGGCTCACCGCAACCTCCACCCCCTGGGTCCAGGCAATTCTCTTGCCTCAGCCTCCTGAGTAGCTGGGATTACAGGCACTCGCCACCATGCCCAGCTGATTTTTTGTATTTTTAGTAGAGACGGGGTTTCACCATGTTGACCAGGATGGTCTCGATCTCTTGACCTCGTGATCCACCCGCCTTGGCCTCCCAAAGTGCTGGGATTACAGGCGTGAGCCACCGCGCCTGGCCAAAATCTATTTTAAAGGCATCTGCAACATATCTGCAGGCCAGATTTCTCCGGGTCCTTTGGCTACATGAGGGGTCCAGAATGACAACCTCACTCTCAGAATAGCAAGTGTGGACAGTTTCCAAGCAGCAGTCGCCCAGCAGCGCTCTTCTTCAAGATGAAGATCAGAGCCGTGACATTAGCCTAGCATCTTCTCTTTCCAAAATTTTCTGAGTCTGATCATCAGGGAACTTCAGTACAGTGGTTATAACTTTTGCCATGGTCTTAGTCTCAGGAACCATCAGATACTCAAAAAGCGCTTTTCAGAAATACTCAAACTCGGTAGGTTCTCCAAAGAGTATAATACAAATTTCTACCTTTGTAAGGTGTCCCCACAGTTGCATATACATTCTTTTCATATTTCTTCAAATTGTCTTCTAAATTGTGAATCTGTTCTTGGAACTCTTGCTCTTTCAATTTTGAATCACTGATTAAAGTCGTCTTCTGTGCTAGCTGTGTCTGTAGCTCCATAATTGTTTCATTATCATTGCCAGGGTTCTCCTCCTGCTCTAGCTTTTGCTCATATTACTTCTGCAGCTCCTCAAGTTGAGTCTGCAGGTCCATTACTTTGGCAGTCATTTCTTCTTCACGAGCATCAAGAATTTCTTCATATCTTTCGGCTGTTCGTTTTAGATCATCATCTTTCTCAGCAATTTTTTTAAGTAACTGATTTGTCTCTTCTTGATGGCTTTCTAAAAGTTCAGCCTCCATGTCCTGGGCCTTATTGATAGTTTCTTTTATGGCCATTTCCAGCTCTTGTTCCTTTTGTGCCAGCTGAGTATTAAACTCCCTCATCAGCTGTTTTAATGTGGAATTGTGCTTCAGTTGAAGATCTTCCTGCTCCTGTTTGATTTTCTCTTCCCTTTCTTGTTCATATTCTTTCTTTAGTATTTCCAATTCTTGCTGATGCTCCTTTCTCAACATTCGAAGGTCTTTCTGAAATCTAACAATCTCCTTGCCCAGTTTCTGTTTCTCCCCATTCTGCCCCTGCTAATTTAAATTCCAGGTCATTGTGCTGGCCTTCCATGTTACTACGCAATTTGGATTGGACCAAATGTGATTTGGATTTTTCTTCAGTGTTTTCCTCCAAAAGTTCTGTGGGTTTATTTTTTCCATCCATCTGTTGTTGTAAAGCCTGTAATTTTTCATATTTTGAGGTCACCTCTTCCATTTCAACTCTATGTACTTCTTTCTGTCTTACTAAGCAGGAATCCATCTCTTTTATCTTTCGCTCCAAGATCTGACAGGTTAGTTCCTTCTCCTGGAGGATTTTCTGAACATCATCAACCACATTTTCCAAGTCTTGCTTTTCCTTTGTGTTATTTTTACCTCCCCCTTCTTCCACATGTTGGGATACTATCAAGGAATATTTCTTCTTCAAGTTCTTCTTGAAGATGATCATAACTTGATCTTCACATTGCTTTGCTTCACCATGTTCTAGCTTTATTAAGAGCTCCTGGTATTTGCATTACATTTCAGAATGAGAAGAAATTGTCTCTTCTTTTTCTTGCTCCAGCATCTGCAATAGTTTTTCTTTTTCAGTTAAATTTCTTTGTTAAACACTTCATACATCTTCTGCACACAATCTTGGGAATCTGCTTCTTGGTCAGTACATGCTGCCACATTTTTTGCTGATCTGGGTACAATTAATGTTTCTGATTGTGAACTTTTCACTGATTTAAGTTTTTCTTCCAAGATGTGAACTTCCCTTTCTCCTTCCTGCAATTTTGCATTTAGCTCACTCAAATGGCTTTCTGTTCTGAAATACTGTTCTTCTTTCTCTTCCATTTGAGATAACAGCTGCTTCTTAATGGCAGCAATTTTTTGTTCAGCTTTTTTCTTCAACTCTGCTAATTTTGCAGCACTTTCTGACTCAAGCCTATCTTCCAGTACCTTTAACTCCTCTTCTTTGCTTTTCACACTTAAATTCACATGTTGTAATTCTTTCTTCTTAGTTTCAAGTTCAGCTTTCATGGAAGCAACTTGCTTTTCAAGTGTTAAGACCTTTTCTTCAGCTTCTTTAACCCTGTTGTCCTTTTCTTCTCCTAACTCTTGAAAATATTCAAGTTTCTGAACCAATTCTTTGTTTTCAATATCCTTTTGTTGACTGTAATTTTTAAGAACTTCATTTAAGGACTCTATTTCAGTAGTTTCTGGGTTATATGGTCCTCTAATTCCACAATTCATGCTGTTTGATTCTTTAACTCTTTCTAAACTGCACTCATTTTTCTCCATCTTGTTCTTCTTATCTTCCATTTCACCCTTTAAACAATCAAATCTTTTGTTTTGCTGATCAAGGTCTTCCTTCAATAAATTTATCTGCTCATCCTTTTCATGAGCTTCCTTTGATTTTAACTCGAGCTGAATCTGCAATTCTTTAATAGTGTTTTGATACTGTGTAAATCTTGACTGTGCTTTCTTCTTCCATTCTGAGAATTTGTTGGACCAGTGATCTACCTGCTCAAGAACAGAAATTTTCTCTTTACTCAGAGTATCAACTTTCAAAGATAAATTTTGTACCTGATCCAGTAATTAATGTTTTTCTTCATCATACTGCTTATTTAGTGACGAAATGGCTGCTTCTTTTTTGGATAGGCTAGTACTATTTTGAAGTTGAATGTTCAAATCAGTTAGTTGTTTACTGAGACTGCTAATCTCAGATTATTTTTCTTTAAGCTCTTCTTTCATCAATGTGACAGCATTGATGTTTTCAGATATCTCTTTCTTCAACTGTGTTATACAAGATTCCTTTTCAGAAGCAGCCTCTTGCTGATTGCCCCCTTCCTTCTGTAAGTCTTCTTTTTCTGTTACAATACTTTCAATATCAGCCTTTATGCTCTTAATTTGATTTTCTTTTTCTTCTAACTGATGAGTAGCTTGTTGAAAATAAATATTTAGTGTGTTTTGCTCCTGTCAACGAAGTTTTGCTTCTAATTCAGAAACTGCAAGTTTTTTGTTTTTGTTTTTTTTTTTTTTTGAGACGGAGTTTCGCTCTCGTTACCCAGGCTGGAGTGCAATGGCGCGATCTCGGCTCACCGCAACCTCCGCCTCCTGGGTTCAGGCAATTCTCCTGCCTCAGCCTCCTGAGTAGCTGGGATTACAGGCACCCGCCACCATGCCCAGCTAATGTTTTGTATTTTTAGTAGAGACGGGGTTTCACCATGTTGACCAGGATGGTCTCGATCTCTTGACCTCGTGATCCACCCGCCTCTGCCTCCCAAAGTGCTGGGATTACAGGTGTGAGCCACCGCGCCCAGCCTCTAACTGCTAATTCTATCAGCAATTGTATTATTTTCCTGGCAGTGGTGTAACAAATGATCCCAAACTGGGTGACTCAAAACAACAGAAATTTATTCTTTCATGGTCGTGGAGGCCAGAAGTCTAAAATCAAATTTGTTTACATTTATGTGGTTTCTCACCAGAGTCAATTGTCTTATGTTGGTAAAGACTTGAACAATGACAAAAAGACTTCTTCACATTCTTTACATTTATAGAGTTTCACACCATGAAGAATTTTCTGATGCAGACACATATGTTGATATAATCTAAAAGTTTTCCCACATTCCTTACATTCAAAGGGTTTCAAGCCAATATGAATTTTCAGATGTTCTGTAAGGTGAGAATGACGTCTAAAAGCCTTCCCACATTGCTTACATTCATAGGGTTTCATACCAGTATGAATTATCTGATGCTGAATAAGCTGTGAATAAAACCTAAAGGCCTTCTCACATCCATTGCATTCATAGGGTTTCAAATCAGTGTGGATTTTTCGATGTCTAATACAATGCTGTAAAACTACAAATGCTTTCCCACATTCATTACATTCATAGGGTCTCATCAGTATGGTCAGTCAGATGTTCAGTAAGGCGTGAATTTTTCTAAAGTCCTTCTTACATTCCTTACACTCATATAATTTCTCTCTTGTGTTATTTCTCTGATATAGAGGAAGGGATATATGTTTTTTGAATATCATTTGGGTCTCCCAAATTCAATTGTGTGCTGTGGGTTATTTCTGAAAATAAACCTCATAAGGTTGAAGGTTTTATTTCTTTTCAATGTCTTCTGATGGTATACATTTACTTCATAATTGCTTTTTTCTGAAGATAACTTATCACTTTCATTTGTGAAATCAAAGTCTGAAAAAAATGAAAAAAAAACCCCCACAAACAAATAAATGCTATTTTCCAATAATAGGGGTAGGGAGAGGACATCTATATTAAAAATAATGATAAACTAAAAAGTGTATCTGTTAGTAGTAAAAGAGTTAGAAAATTCTAAAATACTGCCATGCAATTTTTAAAAAGAAGGGCTCAGAAAATTATGAAAGTGCACAGGAGGATGTAAGATTTATGAGTAGGCAAAGAGAAAGTCACTAGTTCTCATATTTAGTTGCAAGTCAGAATTACCAGAGGAGCATCTTACATATACTACCCTTTAGATATCTACTGAGACTGAGTGGATCAGAATGCAGAGGCGTACGTCCTGAATATCTGCATTTCTAACATTATCACATGGCTCTCTATATACTTTTGTCAGTGGTTTGTCTTTATCTTAGAATGAAACTCAAACACATAACCATGAATAAAAGTCCCTCTCTTATCCACACAAATTCATTTCGAGCCCCTTGGTATCTGCTCCCTATATTGCACCATATTGCATCTTTTTTTTTTTTTTTTTTTTAAGATGGGGTTTCACCATGATGGCCAGGCTGGTCTTGAACTCCTGACCTCAGGTGATCCACCCACCTCGGCCTCCCAAAGTGCTAGGATTACAGGCGTGAGACCATATTGCACCTTTTCAGCTATGAGAACATACCACAGATGTTTCCCATCTCTTGGGTGTTACATAGATGTTCCACCTTTCAGAAATCCTCTTAAGTGGCTTCTTTAAATAATTTGCTAACTCTATGCAAATTCATATATTTTAGTCCATATTCAAATACCCAATTATGTGCCTTCATACTGCCTCTCTCAATTTCAAATTTACTAAATCTCATTTGTTTTGCTACTTATTTTGTTACCTGAAAACATTTCTTTCAATTACCACTGAAAAACAAGTCCCTACCATATAGTAAGTATTACCTAATTAATTGTAGAATAAAATATTGAGTTAAAAGTATAAATTGGATGAAAATAAAGGTCATTGGAAAAGAGAGCTGAGTAAAATAACCATTTTATTTCTGAAAATTATGTAAAAATTATCAAATATCTCTCCCTGACTCCAATCTCTCACTCCTAATTAATCTTTTACCTCACATTTACTTTAGAGGTGAGAAAAATGGACTTCTAAACTAGCTCCATTAATAATATAAGTGGAAAAGGCTGATACATGGCCATTCTACAATAACCTGTCCTCTTAAAAATATACGTGCCTCTATCACTGTTGTCCATGTCTTCCTTGCATAGCCATAATTGCTTTTCTGTTTCTATGTCAATCACACGTTGCATTGCCTTTTTCAGTAATGTTTTGAATAATGGTTTTATCTACAAATAAAGCCTGTAAGGTTGAAGTTTTACTTCCTTTCATTCTACACATGCTCAATCTGTTGTGTTTCTTCAGTGCCTTTCCCAAATTCTTCCTTCTATCCATTTAAAGTCAAGGCGAATCATTCTTGAATTTTACAGAAATGCATCTCAGCAATTTTCAGTAACTGCATGAATTAATATATTGAAAGGCTTATCAAAGTCAAAGCAAATAAACTTGGGGATGTTGGGAGAAATAAAGTAACAAATGGGACAAGAGTCTAGAAAACTGAGTGCCTAGTAGTTTGCAACGGAGAGTATGTTGGATGCAGGCTGAAGATGGATAATCTGTATGGGGGAGCAGCATTTGAAATCTAATGTGCTAAATGGGTCAAGTATTGAAGACAAGTGGAATTCTATGAAAAAGGTATACATTTAAAAAGTCAAAATAATACATATGTTATCCTCTGAGCCAATGCAATAAATGATAAGTAGCAATATCAAAATGCCGAAACACTTCCTATTTATAAACGAAAAGTACTCAACAACTACTATTAGGTGAAAGAGAAAATACAAACTGAAACTGTAGAATTTCTTGAAGACAGTGATAATGGAGATACTGCATATCAGAATCTATGGCTTTCAATTATAATGCATAGAGGCAAACTCAAAGATTAACATGCTTACATCTAATTAAAAATTTAAAAATTAAAATGAAACATTCAATTTTAAAATTAGGGAAAACAGCCAGGCTCAATGGCTCATGCCTGTAATCCCAGCACTTTGGGAGGCTGAGGCAGGTAGATTACTTGAGGCCAGGAGTTTGAGACTAACCTGGCCAACATGACAAAACCCCGTCTCTACTAAAATTACAAAAATTATCCAAGCGTGGTGACTCACACCTGTTGTCCTTGCTTCTCAGGAAGCTGAGGCATAAGAATCATTTGAACCCAGGAAGCAGAGGTGGTAGTGAGCTGAGATTGCACCACTGTACTCTAGCCTGGGCAACAGAGTGAGACTGTGTCTCAAAATTAAAAATAAAAATTAGGAAGAAATTAGGAAATGAATGATAAATTCATGGACTGCAGAAAAGGAAAATATAATAAAGGCAAAATTTAAATAAAACAGTAGAATTTATACATACAAACCATTCTTTCTTTTATACCTCGGGAATAAAAGATGGGGGGAAATCCAAAAACAATGACAAGGGGGAAACGGATCATTGATAAAGAAATAATGTTAAAAAAATCATACAACTGTGCTAATGTATTTGATAGGTACATGAAATGATGAACTTTCTGAAAATAAAATTTATCAGAAATTACACCAGTTAGACTTACTGACTTGCTTCTAGCAAACAATATGAAAAGGGGAAAACATGAGTTTACAGTGAGGAAAAATGATGGACATCAACTTAAACAAGTGTAAGTTTAATTTTTAAAAAATCAATGTAATCTTTCAACATTAATAAAGGAGAAACCCATTCAACCATTTCATTAGGTACAGAAAATCCATTTAACAATCTACAACATTAATCATGATAAAAATTATCAGCAAACTAGAAATAGAGGGCAACTTCTTTAATCTGATAAAGGAGATCTAAAGAATAAAAACTACAATTACCATTTTACTTAAAGGGAAATATGGACCACTGTCCCTCTGATTTCAGGAATAAGGTAAGGCTGTCTGCTCTTACATGTCTTTCCAATTTTGTAGTAGAAGACCTATCCAATATCAAGGGAAAAAATGAAAGGTATAGATGGCAGGAAGCAAAATTATCTTTATTTGCAGATAATGTAGATTACATGATTGTGTACATAAATTTTTTTTTAATTCCACAAGCTTTAAAATAAATGAATCTATTGTTGAATAAAGGATCAAAGTATAAAACAATTACATTAAAGCAAAGCTACTGAAAAATAAAATTTTTAGGGCCGGGCGCGGTGGCTCAAGCCTGTAATCCCAGCACTTTGGGAGGCCGAGGCGGGTGGATCACGAGGTCAAGAGATCGAGACCATCCTGGTCAACATGGTGAAACCCTGTCTCTACTAAAAATACAAAAAAAAATTAGCTGGGCATGGTGGTGCGTGCCTGTAATCCCAGCTACT